GCAGATGCCCCGGCGAGCACGGCTGGAGCCCTCGGGCTGGCTGCGCCCAGCTGCAGCCTGTCGGACTTCTCTTAGGGCCTGTTTGTGTCCGTGACCCCCTAGAGAGGGGCAGGTATTGCCAGGCCTGTCTTCTTCCCCACATTTATTTTCTGAATCTATACATTTTTCCCCCATATAATGAAAAAATTACTTTGAACGGTGTCAAGAGTGTCTGCCAGCCTGCGTGCTCCGAGGAGCTGTGCCGATGCATGCGTGGCACCGGGGATGCCGGCTTCCCTGCCAGCGTCCCCGCAGCAGCGGTGGGTGCTGCGCCCGAAGCAAGCCGCCGGGTTCCTGCGGGGAGACGGCCGGCGTCCCTGCCTGCACGCAGCAGGGCGTGAGGCTGCCAGTCGGCTGCTTGGGCTTCCATTTGGGCTGCAGAAGCATTTTTAACAACACTGAGAAAGAAAAAGAAAACGGAATAAATGCTCTCGGCAGCCTCTAATGGTTGTTAACATTGCAGCGTTTTCTGACGTGCTTTAAATTCGTGATGAATGTGTATTTTTCTAACCACCTCAGTACAGTTTTATTTCATTCAGGCTAAATTTATAAGACTCGCTGCTTCTGTATAACAGTTGCAAAAACTTACCGCCTTGTTGCCCTGTCCTTTTCCAGGTTACTCGTCGGCAGTACAGAAGTTCTCCCAGACTTTGCAGTCCTTTCAGTTCGACTTTATTGGTGACACACTAACAGATGATGAGATTAATATTGGTAAGTTTTCTGCTTTTTGCTGCAAACTTTCAGTAACTGAGAGAGTCTCTCCTTCGCTAGGAATTTGCCTGTGCTGGTGGTTTTTAAACAGCATCGGGAGCTGGGTTCCTCAAATGCCAGTCACTGCACAGCATATGTGTCGTGTTACTTGCAGTGAAAAATAACTGCAATTCTGCAGTGTATTTTACAAAGTTAAACCTGCACGGGTGCAGTTTCGTGTTCCCGATTCAGTGGATAGGTTGTGGAGTTGTTCTGCAGCTCCAGCCCTGCTCCGTGCTCCCGGGCGCTGGCGAGGACGGCGGCGTGGCGCTGGTGTCCCAGCGAGTCCCGCTTCCCAGTGCCGCAGGCAGACTGGGAGCAGCGTGGCCCCGAGCGTCGGTGTGTCTCCCGACCCGGCGGGAGCTGCCTTTGCTCCACACAGACCTCGTTACCAAAAGAGAGCCGCCCTGCGCTGCCCTGCGCTGCGCTGCCCCGAGAGAGGGACCGGGCGGCAAAGTGCCGGGGAACGCGAGGTTCTGGACGTGTCCTCCTGTGGGAAGCCATCGCCGGTCTCTGCCTTGGCTGGAGGGGAGCCTGTGACGTCCATCGTGCTGCTGCCTGCGTATCGGTGTCAGGCTTAGCAATCCTGAAGCCTTTTGACGTCCCTGCCAGCCCTGCGCAGCAGTGCAGGTTGCGCAGCTGCCAGCTGCACGCCGGGAGCTCAACCAAGTGGCCTGAACGCCCTAAACCCAGCGCTTTTCAGATCAATCCTGCTCTTGGCTTAGCGAGCGCTGTTGTGTGGCCGGTGCAGGGGTGCGGGTGCTGCGGTGGTGGCAGGGGCGGCAGCGGGGGATCACAGAATCACAGAATCACAGAATGTTCGGGGTTGGCAGGGCCCTCTGGGGATCCCCCAGCCCAACCCCCTGCCCAAGCAGGGTCACCCAG